CGCTCACTGTTTAGAAGTGATAGTTTTATAGTTTATAGGTGCCAGCTGAGAGTGGGACTTAATTTTGCTAGACACTGTACAAACCTAAAGTAATTGGCAGTCTTTGCCTTGAAAAGTTTAAACAGACAAGACCTGTAACTTTCTGAGAAATGTATAGATACAAGGTTCAGGGAATTATATAGACACTAATATAGTGAATGGTGTCATAGCTTGTAAACACCAGCTAAGTTCTACTGGGTATTCCCTTTAATTGCATCCCCTCAGGACTGGAAACAGGCTGCACACTTTGCCAGTGTGCACTTACAAGTATTCAATATAAATGAAGTTAATTAACTCATAAGAACAGCCAGTGCTAAGCTTTTTGCACCTCATTAAGACTTGTTACCTTGTTTCTCACACTCTCTTACCTCTCTAGTAGCAGCACTGAAGTTGACAGGACCTAGGTCAGTTCAGGGCTGTTTTAGGAGCTTTGAAAGTTGATGGCTCCTTGTCAGTTTCATGGTTAGAGCACAGTTGCATTTATTGCATAGACACTGAGGTGAGGTTCCAGTGTCTATACCCTTAACTGATAGATAACCAATATTTATTATAATGTAGGCAATAGGCAAAAAAATAGGACTGGCATTTCTTTATGCAATTAAATTAATTATGCACTTATCTGATTTGCTTGTAAGTGGATTATCCTGTGCAATCTGTCTATTCTTTGAGTGAGGTTAAGTTAGGAGGTGATTAGCTAAATAGGCTAAGGAAGCAAGGGCTAAAGGGGCATAAGGTGGAAGGACCAGGGAAGAAAATTGAGATCAGCTGTGAATGAACCATGCTCTCTGCACAGCAACAATGCTGTTGCTTTCCCATAAATTCTTGTATCTGAAAGAAATTCGGAGTACTTCTCTAGCCCTCTTGCTGTCTCTAGCTGTCCACGTGCTTCACTGACTGGCTTTCCTGTTCTGACTTATGTATGTGGCACCTTGTATTAAAGGGGCATTTTGTCAGGGGAGAGCTTGGAATCCTGGACCTACCAGTTCAAGAACAGAGCTGGGCATGGGTAAGTAAAGGAGAACTATATAGCAGGTCTTAAATAGTATAGGAAGTCTTTCAACTTATTTATTTAGTACTTATAGGTCCTTTTAATCCATTTGACCCAGATGAGTCAGTAAAACTTCCCCCTTCCATAAACTAGGTCAGAAACCAATGACTTGGTTAAAATGACCCCTAACATGGAATGTAGCACACTCTTATTTTGGATCACAATTTTTATGTTTTATTCTGATTGTGGGAGTAATGTAGATGCCAACACGAGGAGGGAAGTGAGAGACAACCCTTGAGGTTTGCTAAGCTGTAATTCTTAGAAGGAAAGTTGTTTAGAAGTTCCTTGAAAAGCTTGGGAACATTCTTTATACTCCTTCCCCACCCACTTCTCTCTCATAATTGCAAAAGTACTCTGGTAAACAACTTTCCAAACTGAACTAAGTCACCTAAGATAATGTAGTTCTGCACAGCGTAAACTGTTGTCTGTCAACAGCAGCAAAACCTGGACGTTAACAGGCTGTACAGCACACAAATTGTATTCTGTCCAGAGTAATGTATACAGTGTATTTATAGAGCGCTTGTAGTTGTTACCAGGCTAAAAATATGTTCTCTTCTCCCTGGCAGTGCAGTGACAGTTTTTATTTCGGAGCCTAATTTTCTGACTCCCTGACCCAGTTCCTCTTTGTGTTGCTTTTGTATTTTATGTTTAGTTACAAACTTTATAAGCAGCTGTCTATTCAATGGCCCCCTGAGACAACTGAGAACAAGGTGGGAAAGAGATTGTAGTTGGTGTTACCAGGAAGTTCATAGTAATGTCAAACACTTGCAAAACTGCATCAACAGCTTATGGAAGTTTTCTGTGTGTGGAGGAAGAACATAAAGTTATTGGAAAGAAAATTGCCTTGTATTTGGGGGAAAAAATGATAAAATCTGATGATGACCGAAACAGTGAGCTATTTCTGCTACTATTTGGATGTAACTGATACTTTGAACATTTGCAGAGAGGCCTTTGTAGAGGCTCTCTTGTACTATTTTTCAGAAATGAAATAAGTATTATTATTTCTTACAGAGCTCTACGTCTGATGTTGCAGCACATCTGTGAGAGAAAATGTTGCCAATTTAACCATATTGTCCCAACAAAAATGTGTTTAGTGATTTATATTTATTTTTACACACAACTTTTAATTGCAGGAAACAAAGATTTAAATATTGCAAATCTAGAGAGACATACATATTTAAAAATTCAGTAGGATCACTGAAGGCATACATAGTGTTTAGTAAAATCAGAGGACTTTAAAATAGTTACCATTGGGAGAGATTCCCTTCATGGAAGAAAGGCTTGCTTGCTAAGTTCAGCTTCTCTGTAATAGCTGATGATATCCCTGGCTCTTAAGTGACAAGTCTTTTCCCTGCCATGGGTGCTGGTGATTGGGGATGTCTTCAGCTGTTAGACATAGACAAACATAGAACTGTAGTTATTAATCATCCATTATGGAGTTGGTGCTTTAGATTAAGTTTAAAGCTGAGGAGGAGGGAGGGAGTGCTGGGTGGAAAATATGTATGTTGTTGAAGCAACATACATATCGAAGCTGATGGTTGAGACGATATACCATGACTGGAAGGGTAGCTGCACCTGAGTAACTTCATCTCTCACCTCTCAGAGGAGCTGCCAGGTATTGAGCCACATGACTTTATCTTTCTTGGGGAAGAATCTTGTAATTATTATACTCTCAGACTAGAAGGCACGTCTACTCCCAGTATATGCCAGCTGCATAGTACTGGGTTGCAGGCCTGTCTTTTACTTGAGCATCTGCTATGTTCCTTTTGGAAACTTGTGACCAGTTATATAGACCAACAACTTTATCTTAAAACCAAATTTCTTATTGGGAAGCTAAGACAAAGGATCAGATAAGTGTTATTTTAAAACTACCACCAACTTGACTGTATGTTTTGTCTTTTGAGAACTTCTGCATTGTTACAAGGCAAATCAGAGAGTTCTTTTTCTTCAGTTTTTTTGCAAAAGAGCTAGTCAGTTGTCAGAATCCCCTGGATTTTTTTTTTCCAAGTCCTTCCCTTGACACCAGTTCCCTGGTATGGCTCTACTGTGTCTTTGTCCAGGGAGGCTTCATTTAAGAAAGCCTTACTCTTTCTTGTTGGCGTCTGGGCCCAGCTACCATATTTTGTGAAAAGGAGGTGAAGGCCTACATAAGGTTTGCTCAGGGTTGCTCTATGGATTCACAAGATGGTCACTTTTCCTAGGTGTGATCAGATTTTAATTTTTTGATTGCTTAAGATTTAGCATCACACAAGCCCCCTCTCTCACAGCTTTAGTTGAATTGGGTTTGCTAGAGCCTGATCCAGCATTTGTAAGCAGCCCTCAATGGAGAACACTTCCATACAATCCAACATAGAAAACTTTTGATTAAAGCCCCAGATAGACATTAACACAGCAATTCAATTCAATTAAAAAAGGTGCATTTGTACTTTGTAAACAATGTAATCCTGCTACAAGCTTAGCATAGATTTGTATTAGAAAATGAAGTAGTCATGGAAATGAGACAATTAAGAGTGATGCTGCAATTAGAATGCATGGGCAGGGTAGTGTAGTGGGTTCCTTTTCTTTCCAGTCACAGATTAGGTGACTTGGACTCAATATTCAGTTCCCTGTTTTTTTTCACCTGTAGGTTGTCACCAGTTCAAATGAGTCAGTTTAATGGCGAGTAAAAATGGCTATCTGACGGATACATGGGGTGTGTCTACACAAGATGTTTACTATGGAGTTGTCTAATTAGCTCTGCAATAAACATTTCAGTGTCTACACCTGCAGCCCCATTAGACCGCAGGAAGCTAATAAACTCTGCACCGGGTTAGTACTTGTAAATACAAGTACTTTCCTGCTGCAGAGTTTTTTTTTCATGCTCGACAGCACATGGGTAGACACTGACCTGGCTGGCTGGACCACAAGGGTGCTTCAGTGTGGGGACTGCCTGCTGGCTTGTCCCAGTCTGAAGCACCCTCATGCCTCAGCCAGCCCCTTTGCAGCTCATTGAGCTGGGTTGGAGCAGCCCTGGGCCAGCAGGTTGACCCCCCCCAGACCTCTACCAGCCAGGGCTGCTCTGACGCAGCTCAAAGTGATGTGGTCCCGGGTGTACATGTAAATGCAGCACCCAGGAGCAATAAACTCCGGTGAGATATGCAAATCACACTGGAGTGTAATGCTTTGCATTCATATGTAGATGCACTTATGGTGTTATGGTCTTTTTATGACTACAGTTGTTGTGGTGTGAACACTGATTGACATAAGAATTGGGCAAACTGACAAGCACTTTTAGCTATCTAAGGAGAAAGATACAGAATATAGCCTTTTGTTTCTAGAGGCGGGCCTGCAGGAGAGGACTGATGTACTTTGACACAGAAGTCATTCTCCAGAGATTCAGTTTGACACTTTTTATGAGCACTGTGCTATTTGAAATATTAATCCTGAATTTAGATCCAACCTAAATGGATCTACGGCCCTTTCTTCAGGTCTTGTTAGACCATCATCCTCTATAAAACCAACACCCTTGTGCGCTGGCACAACTCTCAGGATAGACCTGTCGCTGAGAGAGAGATTATTTTGCTGATGGGAATTGAGTTGTGTCACTGAAGTGATTAGAGAAGTTTGTGTGCCTGGCTGCATTGGGAGGAATGACCTGGAAGCCTGCCTACCAGTGAGTTTGCAGCCTCCAGGTCCTTCCTGTCCAAAAGAGTGCAGCGTGGCTGACTTGAACAAGTCTCCAAAGTAAGCCACAGACGTGTTGTATACAAAGGACACTAACTTAATGAAGATTCGTTTGCAAGTTTTGGTGATCATTGTTTGGTCTTCATCAGCAGTGAAGTCTGTCTGTGTCTGCAAAGGTCTTTGTTTAATTTATGTTCCTTTCCCCAAATGGAGTCCCTTCTCAACAGTTAGAGGTATGTTGATGTTTAGATTTGTAGTCCTTTTTTTTTTTTAAACAAACCAGCAAGTAATTGGGATAGGATAGCCTGGCACCTGTCTTATT